TCTGAATGGAAATTGTGCTTTGGTCAGACTCGTCTGCCCGGAGGAACCAGAAGGTGCATGTGGACAGGGGGTCAGGTAGACTAGTCCAGGAGAGAATGAAGGGAGGGCTATAGAAAAAGCTGGACTTTGAGGGGCAAAGGCTATGGAGTCTGGATGTGGAAAGTGGGACGGAGTGATGAGGGACAGCCAGGGCACATGTGCAGAAGAGATGAGTGGCAGTAAGTGGCAGGCAGTAGCTGCTGGTCTCCCCCAGGGGTGACCTGCTTCTGAGCACTGGGCTCTGGCAGGTGCTTTGTAGATGGGGCTTTGCTTTGGAACAAGGAGGGCCTGTGTGTGGGGCCTGACTCCATCCAGCTGTGTGCTGGAGAAAGGTATTTTGCCCCTGGGGCTTTGGTTTCATGATGTATGAAATGAGGACTTAATAGAGAGCACAGGAGCCTTGGGCATCTCAAGTCTTTAATTTACATCTAGAAGAAAACCAGCTTTAGTTTGAATCTGGAATGTCCCCGCAAAGACCCATGTGCAAAAGGCTTAGTTCCCAGCTTGGTGCTTTGGGGAGGAAGGGAAAAATTTAAAAGAGGAGGGCGTAGTGGGGCATTGTCCAGTCACTGGGAGTGTATTCTTGGATGGAAATGGGGCTGAGCCCTCTTCTTCTCCCTGTCCCTCTCCCTCATGTCCCCTGCCCCTTTCTCGTGCCATGAGGTGAACGGCATTGCTCCCCCACCATGACGTGCTGCCTCATCACAGGCCTGGCAGCAATGTGGCCAATTGACCACGCACTAAAACCTCCCAACTATGAGCCAAAATGAGCCTTTTCTCTTTGTAAGTTCATTGTCTCAGGTATTTGTCACAGTGCTGCAAAGCTGACGAAAGTCTTAGTTGTTCTCTAGCAAAAGGGACCAGGACTCCTTGTAGGGTAGCTGTCTGGGGGCATAGACATCTCAGAATGGGCCTAGAATATTCCATTCCAGAAAGTTAGGGGCAGCCACCTCATAGGGGCTCCTGTGGCCATTATGTGACAGTCAAAATAATCGTAATAGCACGACTTTCACTTCTGCCCAAATTGGTGTAACAGAGACTGAATCTACCCTCGTGGCTGAATAACAAGAGAGGAAAAATCTGAACAAAATACATGAAACAAGTTCCTAAGAAACTGGACATTGATGACAAAGGCTGTGATCCCCAAGGGATGGATGAAGCAGTGTTGGGGGAACCCTGCGACTGCCTGGCTTACCTCCTGGGGAGTTTCCAGGTTGCAGCTTATGGAAGGGGAATTTAGCAGCTCTCCGAGAAGTGCTGAGTGAGGAGATGGAACTGAGGGTCCAGGGACATCAAAGTGGCTGCACTTCACAGAACAGAGTGGGAGAGGGCAGTGGCAGAGAGAATCCCAGACACTGTCAGAGGGGTCCCTCAAGTTAATCAGCAGCCAGCACAGGCCGTGGGGATGGGATACCCCAAAACTGAAACCAGTTGTGTGCATCTGGGTGTGCAGCCATCTTCTAGGGTGGAAGATTCATTGTTTTGTTGCTGTTTTGTGGTGCTGGGGATGGAATTCAGGGCCTTGTGCATGCTAGGCAAGTGCTCTTCCACTGAGCTACACCCCCAGCCCTGGACTCATTGTTTTAATCAGCTCCTCAGGGTGACCCTGTGTGGCTAAGACCAGGTTCTTGAGAATAAGGACTCTTGAAGAACGTAAAGGCACTCAGGGTGTTAGGGACATGTGGCTGGCTCCATCTTGGCCCTGTGTGTGGGACAGAGCTGTGACACCAGGTACCTAGGAAGTTTTTCTGTAGGATGCCCCCACCAACGTAAGCCTGAGGGGGTTGGTGTGTACTCTAAGACTGTGGGATCCTGGCTTTGGCAGCTGTGCTCTAGGGGCACCACTGGCCCCAGCTCCCACTCAGGTGACCAATGGCCCATGTAACCCCTCTGAGAAAACCTCAGGAACACTTATGTAGGGAACAAAAAGCCACCAGGATGCCAGCACAGGTTCCGTGGCCCCGAGACAGGCAGGAGATAAGATCCTGAGACTGCATAGTAGGGAGCAGGTGAAGGCAGCCTGGGGTCTGGGTCTGCCCTTGCACCCTAGGGTTTTTGCTGCAGACAGGGAAGCCTGGCTACCTCCACCCCCATGGTCCCCAGGACGCTGACTTGGGGTGTTCTGCTAGGATGTAGCATGAATCTGGACGGCAACCTTTCCTGGGCCCTGGAGAGCAGCTTGGGATGACTTGTCTTATATCCGTGTTCCTGGAGCATCTGGGCCACTCTTGCTCCTTTCTTATGTACCTCTAGGACACAGGTAGCAATGTCTGGCATGGAGTGGGCTCTCCTTGCCCACCCTTGCTCAACTCAGATAGCCTCATTAACTCAAGGCACCAGTAAAGGCATATTCTTCTGTTCCCACTTCTTGTCAAATGGGGCAGGAAGTTCTGGCCCTCCCTCCTCAGCATTTTCCTTTAGCCACCAATTCTCCTAACCTCTTCAGTATCCTTAGGCCAAGTTGGGGTTTTCCAATCTCTACTGCCCAGGGACAGAGCTGAACTCCACATGGATGCTGTTTCTCGTGTCCACAAGTGTCACTGATGAGAGCTGGCCAAGGGCCCTGCCCTTAATGGAGGACTGTTCACTCAGTACCACAGGCAGCCACACTCTTGCTCCAGTGCCTGGAGGTGTGGTTTTAGGGCCCAGTCTGTCTAGTCTCCTAGTGGCCTTATCCTAAGGTGCCAGCACCATGGGATGTGGGGCATGTGAAAGTATCACCTGTCTTTCGCAAGTATCCACACCCAAGAGAAGGGAGCTTTCTTGCCAACTCTAGAAATTAAAGGGTTTCTTCATACCAGAAAGCAGAGTCCCCTCCAAACTCTTAAGGTCCAAGATGTCCCCAAGGCCCAAACTGTCACCCACTGAAGGTCTAATTGTGAAGACTCCTTCCTAGAAGAGACAGCTGAACTTCAGAGACTACAATGTGATTTTTCCTTTTTTTTTTTGGTGTATTCTCTTGATGGCAACTGAGAACATCCTCTTGCCTAGCTCTTGCCAGAACAGAAGCAGATTTGATGCTCACAGGTGGCCTCTTGGCTACGCCTCTCTGATGGCCTCCCATTCTCCAGAATGCAACCTGTTGACCAGTGAGCCTCTGCCACTGGGACAGTAACATTCACTCACTTATCCAGGAATCCTGTCATCTACCACGAGTGGGACTTCCTTGGCAGGGGCATCCCAGACAACAAAATGGCTCTGGAACTTTGGAGCATCAAAGGGGATCTGGGAAGCTCAGCAGAGGTGAGGAACAGGCCACTTGAGCCAACCCAGCCAGTGAGGAGGCCCCTGCTGGGCAGAGGCCTGAGGACACATGCCAGGAAGAGGACAGCACTCTGTTCCCTCATCCAGAAAACCCCCACACCATCTCTGACTGGGAGAGAGGTTTTCTCGATTCTGGTCTTTGGAATACCTCAGGCAACCTGTCATGACACAGAGCCAAGAGGTATGCTTGTGGTCAATTCTGTTCTTGCAGACTGTCATCATTGTTGACCTTGAGATGTGTTTCTTTCTACCTCTATTGTTTCCACTTTCCCGCTCTGCCGGTGGGAATATCCCACACTCAGCTTAGAACTAGCTGGGTACTTGGACTGAGAAGCAGCATGGACGCCATGAAGAGGCTGTGGAGCGCGTAGCACACATGGGGGTTGCAGTGATACCCATTCCTGCTGCCTGCAGGACCAGTCCCTCCAGAGCCCACAGCCCTGCCTCTCTGGGGGACACGCACAGCTGCTTCTTAGGAGGCACTGATCCTGAATTCAGGGAATTAAAATAATTTTTTTCAAAAAAGGCGTGAGAATAATTTTAGTGACCTTTTGCTTTGAGGTGTGTTCACATTGACAGAGGCTTATTACAATGTGACTTAACACTTTGATCTCATTAAGGGTTTGTGAGTTCTCCACAGGAAAATGCAGAGGTGTCATCTTTTTCTTGGAAACCAGCTGAACATGTCATCTAACAAAAGGATGACATAAAATTGTAAACATTTATAGCAACAAGTTCAAAGCCTGATAAAATACTGACCTCTTTTTTAAAAAAAGCATTTTATTGTTTGTATTACTAAAATAGAAAGGGCTTTCTTTCATCTTTATATCAAAGGGATGGTTTGGGCTTAGGTGAGAACCAGCTCCGGCTTTGGGAGTTTCTGCCCCATGCTCAGGAGGCTGGTGAACAGCCCGTGGCTCGGGCTCTGACCAGGCAGTGAAGCCTCCAGCTGCAGACAGCGGATCAAAGGCACTCTTGTCAAGTTAGAAAAGTTCACGGAAATGCCTGTTTGCCGATGATGGCAAAGGGCCTGTGGGCGTGGGGATGGTGCCAAGTGGCAGCTCCTTCCTTGGTTCCTGAGATGCTCTGGCTCTGGGTTGTGTTTTGAGGAAGTGTGGGCTGGCAGGCTTCTAAGGAAGTGAAGGAGGCCACTGTGTTGGTGGGTGAACTGGAGATAAGCTGAGACCTGTTTTGGCTTCAACAAAGGCTGCCTCTGTTCCCTTGAACCCTTTTGTATGGACGCCCTCGCCAGCTGTTCCTGCAGAGCTGCCTCCTGACCTGGGGCAGGCCAGCTGCTCTCCACACACCTGGGGGAGGCGCAGACCCTGCCCACAGCAAAAGTCCCACCCTCCTTCCAGCTGGAGGCTCTGACTCTGTTCACGGAGGTGACCTGGCAAGTCAGTTTTGTCTATCAACAGGATCCTTTAAAGGCTCTTCTGGCCTCATCACTGTGATTGTCCACCTCCTGCTCAGGTAGGAAGAGGAAAAGGTGTCATGGGCGTTGGCCAGGCTGCCTGCCACAAAGCAATCTAGAGAGCAGGTAGCAGGAAGAACTTTCCAGCTGGGGCCTGCAGGCTCCCTTTCAGCTCATGAAGGCAGTTCTGGGTCTCAGCAGGGTGGACACACCACAATGGCAGACAGGAACTGTGTAATCCCTGATTGGCAAGGCCTCCAGGATTTATCTCCCAGAGACGGAAACTGAGACCCAGAGAGGGAAAGTGAAGAGCTCTGCATCCCCTGGCAAGCTAATTTAACAGCAGGATGGCAGAGGGCTCTGTGGCTCACAGCTCAGTGCTCTCTTCCTACCATATCCGAGCAGGGAGGATGCAGGCTGCAGCTCGGAAGGAGCCTCCCAGCACCAGGGAGGGAAAAGCCAGAGGAAGGTGTGAAGCTCAGGCTTAGGGATGCTTGCCACTCAAGACGCCCACTCCTGCCTGGGAGCCATTAGAAACTGGGATCTCAGACCCCGCCCAGACCTCCAGACCCAGGATCTGCTCCAGTCACTTGCACATTAGAACTGACCGGCCTCTACTAAAGAGATCAGCACGAGGACTGAGGGCACCTCCCAGTGCACACTCCACAGCGGAACCTTCCAGAAGTCTGTGGCAGATGCCCATGGGTTTGTCCATGCTTGGTGGGCCTGCCCCACCTGGAGAGTGCATGAGCAGAAAGGGGAAGTATTTCAGGCTCCAGGAAACCCAAGTCAGGCTCCCCAGAATGGAGGAGGGGCCCAAGTGTCTGCTGCCCTTTGGTCTGAGTCTGTACCACCAAGGTCAGCAAGCCTTACAGCCAGCAGTGGCCATGTGTAGGACAGCTGTGTGTGAACCTGAAGAGGTCATTTTTGAAAGATCCAGGCCTGGCTACATTTTGGAGGTGGTGCAGATCCAGCTGAGCCAAGAGTGGGGAAGGAAAATGACTCCCCCAACCCAGGGGCCCCAGGGCCTGGTCTGCGGTGACCTCAGGACTGCTGTCACACCCCCTGTATGGTCAGTTCAGCGGCAGTACTCCCGCTCGATGCTTGCCATCAGCTCCTCCTCCGAATAGTCGTAAGAGATGGCCGTCTGCCCCTCGGGCCGCTTACGGGTGCTGCCTGGGGCTCTGCAGGTGAGAAACAGGGACATAGGTAGATATTACCTTCAAACTCGAATCTCTACTGGAAACCACCACGGTCCCTAATGGGTTCATTCTAACACCCCAAACTAAAAACAATGCCCTCTCCACCTCCTTACCCAACATGGATGTGATCAGTCCTTGCCTCTCTGTCTTCATCCCCCCTACATTATCCACCAAGACCTACACTGCAGAGTGAGGGAGGAGGGATCTGGGGGTGGAAAGATCTGAGTTCAAATTCAAGCACTGCCACTTACTAGCAGGGTCACCTTGGGCAAGTCATTCGCACCTCTGAGCATCCATTTTTTTTCTCGAGAATGGAGCTTTATTCCTGAGTTCATTTTGAGGCATGGAAACGAGAATGCATGCACAGATGTGACAGAGGGTCTCACCAGTGTTGGCCTTTACTCATCAGGAACCAGAAGTGCCATGTCATCCCCAAAGCCTGTGCCCTCTGAGGTGTCACAGAGGCTGCTGCCAGGACAGGATGGCCACTCTGTGATCCATCAGGCAGTGTGAATGGCAGGACCTGAGCAGAATTCCAGTTTCTGCTTCCTGAGCTCAGAGTGATCCACCAACCTGGATCTCCTCTGCATGCCCCCTCCCAGACTTCCTGGAGGGGAAGTGTGGACTCTAGAGATTCCCACAGCTGTCACCTGTGTGGGCCTGGCTTTGGCCTTGTGTCCTCCCCCCTCCCCGACCCCATGGCATCCTTGCAGGTGGGAGTTCTGGGAGCCCAGTGCAGGGTGTGGAGCACTGGCTAGGCTGAGTGTTGCCACTTGGAGGTGCTGCCTTTGAAAGGGAGGTGGAGCTCAAGTCTAAAGTCAATAGAGCCAAGCTGAGACATGCCAGAGCTGCCACAGCCAGGTGTGGCACAGTGACCTCCATCAGCCAGCCAGAGGCTCTGCTATATAAGGCAAAGGGACCACAGTGGCTCTGCCACCTGCCAGTCTGATGGCTGGGCAAGCTGCTTCCTGTTCCTGGCCTTGGCTCCCCACCTGCAAATTCAGGGGCCAGGCTGAACGGTGTTGAAGGTCTACCTCATGCTCCTTACTCATGCTCGACAGCAGCCTCCAGAAAAAAAAAAAAAAAAAAAAAGAGAGCAGCCTCCAGAGCCTGTCTGGTTCTCCCAGAACTAAGGGAAATAACTAAGCCTGGGCACAGCCACTTGATCACACAGGAGTACAATTTCAGGACATCACAGGAAGGATGACTTCAGGTATACCAGGGCAGGGACAGCTCCATGCCATAAATATGCTTCCATGGCACAGTGGGCGATGGCACACAGCACCTGCCAGAACTCATAACCAGTAGGCCGCCGCTGTTGAGAGAGGCAGGGCTCTTAGCATGCTGCCTGTTCTTCAAGGTAGCCAATAAGCATCCTTTTTTGCCTTGGAGATGCAGTGGACAAAGCAAACGTTTTCGAGACAGATGGATCCTACCTGGCTCTGACACACAGCAGGTGTATGGCCCTGGACTGGCCATTGTCTTTGCTTCAATCTCCATCAATAAAAGGGAATGGCTACTGCCCAAGGCTGACCTGAAGGGTGGTGAGGTGCCACCTTCAGTGTGGTTAGCAGAGGTGGGCACTTGGGAGGCTCTGAACGGGAGCAACTGCCTGTACTGTTCACAGCCTTGAGAGGTCCCAGCAAAGCCTAGTACAGAGAGAAGCCAGGTACTTCCTGTTCCCTCCTCAATGCTCCTGGGGTTCTCTACTGAGGACTTTTCAAAGAAAAGGAATGCATACCCCAAACACCCCCAGGGTAGGTCAGGGGGCTAAGAGGAAGCCAGTTGTCCTGTAGGACTCCCCCCCAGAGTACCTTTCTGGGCCTGGGGATCTCTACAGGAATATGAGCCCCTCTGGCCTTGCCCAGGTCAGCCCCCTGAACGTGTAGCTGTAAAAGTTGAGTCTTGACAACAGATGGAGCCCAAGGTGACAGTGACCTGGCTATAGATTTTCATTACTGTCCTTTCCTATTGGATACCCCAACACTCCTACTACATTTGGAACCCAAAGAGCAAGTGGAAGAGGAAGGGACTATCATGGAAAGCTGACAGCAGCTCCACAGCCACCTGTACTGTGTGACTGGCAGAATCCAGGCAACACCCTGGGGCTATTAGCCTATGAGCTTGGAGAACAAGATGGGGTCATAAGCCCTTTCTTCCCTCTACTGGTGGGTGGAAAGGGAGAGCCAGGTGTTAAATTGACTCCTGCGAAGTTACCCCCTGCCAAGTGAGTCAAGAAGTGAAGGTTCACTGAAATTCTCATTCACTCTGTTTTTCTTCAGCAGGGTTTCCTAGTCATACATATTCTAAAAAAAAGAAAAGCCCTTCCCAAGGAGAAAAAAAAATCTCTCCAAGAAAAGACAATATATCTTTCCAGAGAGAGTAAATTGACTGTAACTGGGCTGCAGAGACCCACATGCTAAATGAGGGGAGAAGACCCAAGACATTTGTGCTAGTCTTTTTTGGGGGGTCTGGAATTGTCTAGAGTTTACTGTCAATGAGTGACTCCTACCTCAGTGTGCTCATTAGGAACATGGAGAAGAGTGCCTATCCCTTCCCAGCACAAGCTGCCAAGCTGGCCTAGGGCCTGGCCGACCAGCATTTGCAGAATGAACCATGTGGCATGTACAGACAGGAGTATCGAGAAACCCATGCTCACACCACAGACTCCAGCTTCTTCTACCCAAAACACAGACCTCAGCCCTGTCAGAAAAGCCCATGGAAGCAGCAACTTCCTGCAGCAATGACCCACCCTGCTGCTTCCTCACCCCCTCCCAGGACTGTGCACACATCCAGGTCCACATTAAATGCTCCCTTCTACGAGCATCTCTGAAGCCACATGCCTCCCTGGCTTTCCTGAGGCTTAGGGGCAAGAGGGGACAAGGCACGGTGATGGGTGATAGGGGTTGGGGGTAGTGGGGCCTGGAAAGCATTGGAGGAGAAGCCTCAGTTTGACAAGATTTGAACTGGACTTCAAAGGCTTTTTTCCTTCAATATTTTATTATGAAAAATTTGAAGTATACAAAGAATTCAACCAGTAAGTATAAAGATAGCAAAGTTGCTTCTGGTTTTCTGAAGCTTCCCAAAGTCAACTGAGGTGGGGCCAGCCCAGGAACAGACAGGCAGGTCTCTGGGCTTGAGCTTTTTTTGGTGGTATTCCGGTTTCAACTCTGGGCCTCACAGGTAGGCAGGCGTTCTACCACTTGAGCCACTCCACCAGCCCTTTTTTGTGTTGGGTATTTTCAAGGTAGGGTCTGCCTGGGGCTGACTTTGAATCGTGATCCTACTGACCTCTGCCTCCTGAGTAACTAGGATCACACACGCTGAGCCACCAGTGCCCAGCAGGCCTAGGGAATTTTAAAGGAGGAGAAGAGACCAGGGCCCCAGGCCACAACTTTCAGGGGTTTTAAGCATGTTTTCCTGATGACTACAATGGAGCTCCAGGTAGCAACTGTCACTCTCTAGACCGTGAGCTCCTTAGGAGCAAGGACAGTCTTTACAGCTGAAGCTACTGCATGCACACAGCAGGACACTTGAGAACATGCTAATGAAGTCTTGGGTCAGGAATAGCCTCAGAGGGTCCAGATTATGACCCGATTTAGGAGAAAGTCAGAGCTGTTATGAGGAGGGAGGTGACAGGCTCTCTGGGAGGGACAGAGCTCTGCATTTACAGAGGAGCTGCCCCTAGAGGAATGTGAGGACAGGAGGGCTTTTGGGGGTGGGGAGGGTGGCTGGAGTATCTGAAGAACTGGAGACTTCTGGAGACATGCATCCCCACCTGGTACTTACTCAGAAGCACAGCTGCCTTCTGGGTGGTCTTCAGCCCACTGTTCTGGGGACACCTTGAGAAGAATGAAAGGAAGAAGCATCAAAAGATTGTCAACAGTGCTAAGGCCCAACGCTCTGACCACCATGTTCAACCTAAGTCCCATAAATGTCAGAGGTGGAAAGGCTGAGGCTGTGGAGTCCCACCTGCTCGTTTCACAGTGGAGAAAACTGAGGCAGCCAGAGGGGACTTGCAGAGATCTCACAAAGAGCAAATGGCAGTGCCTCCCAAACACCACTTAGTACAAGGCCACCCAACTGCTTCCCACCTCCAGGAATCACATCATGTCCCAGCCTCCAGACCCTCCCAAAATACATGTATTTTTTTAAGCAATTAAAATAATGTTTTTAAAAAGAACTGTGAGAAATAGATTTATGTTGCTTATTAATCACCCAGAGTAAGGTATTTTGTTACAGTACCTAGAAGGGAAAAAGATACAAGAATAAAGAAAAACTCCTCAAAAGCTCATAGGATCTGGGTGCCAGGGGCATGCCTGCTACACAGGAGGCAGAGGTCAGGAGGATTGCAGTTCAAAGCCAGCCTGGGCAAATAGTTCATGAGACCCTGTCTCAAAAAAACAAAACAAAACAAACAAACAAACAAATCACAAAAAGGGCTGGCTGAGTGACTCAAGCTGTAATAGTTCGTGTTTAGCAATTGTGAGGCTCTGAGTTCAAACCCCAGTGCCTCCAAAAAAAAAGTTTTAAAAAAGCTCCTAGGGAGGGAGGGACAGGTAGAGACAGGTCTTCTGCTAGACACCAAGAACAAGATGGCTGTATAGTGTTCATCAGCAGCCTGGGGACAACATCAGGATGGCCCCAAAGATGGGGGAAGAGGTCATTTTGAACTCAGAATTTTAATTCTAAATATTCATCAGGTGTCAGAGCAAAGTAAAGACATTTTCAGGGGCTGAGGATGTAACTCAAGTTAAGACTCAGAGTTTATCTTCTGTTACCCTTTCTAGGGAAAATATATTTTAAAGATTTTTAAAATTCTTATTTATTTTTTCTGGTCTCTTCTATTTTTAAATTTTGATTTCTTTTCCTTTTTATTATTGTACTGGGACACACTGTGACATTTACAAAAGTTGAATTCGCCCCCCTCCATCATTCGCTTAATAATTTTTTTTAAGATCTGGGTGCCAGTGGCTCACTGTAATCCTAGCTACTTGAGAGGCTGATCAGGAGGATCAAAGTTCAAAGACAGCCCCAGGAAATGTAGTTTGCAAGATCCCATCTTCCAAATAACCAGAGCAAAATGGACTGGAGGTGTGGCTCAATTGGAAGAGTGCCTGCTTTGCAAGTGTGAAGCCTAGAGTTCAAATCCCAGTCCCCTCCACCACGGATATAAAAAAAAAAAAAAAGATTACAAAAAAAATCAGAGTGGCCCATGGGCCTGATGGAATTAACTGAGGATTCAAGGAAAGGGAGCTTCAGGACCTCATGAAACAGGCCTGGAGAGCAACCCTGTTTGTTTTCCATGACATGCACTGAGTGATCAGGACACATGTGAATGGGGCCACATTCCCTTCACCCCAGAGCCTCAGTCCACCAGGACCGCCTGTGGGCGCAAACAGACAACTACTGGACAAGACTGGGTGATCCAGTGCTTTATTCTGCCCATCAGAATTCAAAAGAGGCCCAACACCCTGAAGTCATGCCCTTCCATTTCTAGGACCCCACAGAGTTCAGCAAGGGGAGGAAGGTCACATGGGGCACAAGGACAATCCGCATGGCATCCTGCACATTCATCTCCCATCTACTTTCAGGCCTTGTTTTCCTTGGTCAGCTGCTCCCTCCCCCAGCAGGGCTAGGTGCTTTCTGAACACCTGCCCTAGCTCATCCTGTGCTCATTGTGCTGTTTCACAAATCTGCCCAGAAGGGAGCCCCTCGAGGGCAGGAGGGCAGGAAGGATGCCCCCACACCAGGCACAGACCCTGAGCTGCGGGCTGCTGCCCATACAGCAGGGTCCCAGTGCCTGGCAGGCCCTAAGTATTCTGCAGACTTTGGGGAGCTCTTAAGGGTTTGGGCTTTCCTTGAACACTTGAGCAAGATGAGCTCTTCTATACACATAATCCTGTGCGCCCAGATACTGAATTGGGCTTTGCCCCCACAGGAAAATGCTTAGCTCCCTCCCCAATTCATTCTCATCCCTTCTCCCTCTCCTGTGCTGGGGATCAAACACAGGGCCTGGCACACACACGTAACCTGTAATTTGCTGTCTCAACCACCTTTAAATGTACACTTCGGTGTCATTAAGTACATTCATACTGTTGAACCACCCCCCCCCAATCCAGCCACAGAACTCTTCACTGACTCCCACTGGCCCTCCCAACCCCTGCCAACCATACGCCACTTTGTTTCTGTGAATGAATTTGACTTCTCTAAGGACCTCGTGTGTACATAATCGCGCAGTATTTATACTCCAGTGACTGGCTTACTTCACTAAGCATAACATCTTCAAGGTTCATCCTTGTTGTAGCATAAGGCCGAATCATATTCCATCATATGGACAGCTAGCATTTTTTTTTGGTGGTACTAGGGTTTGAACTCAGGGTCTCATACTTGCTAGGCAGTTGTTCTACCACTTGAGCCACTCCATCAGCCTTATTTTGTGTTGGGTGTTTTTGAGATAGGGCCTCACCAACTATTTGCCAGAACTGGCTTAGAGCCTTGATCCTCCTGATCTCTGTCTCTTGAGTAGCTAGGATTACAGGCGTGAGCCACCAGCTCCCCTGGCTGATAGCCAGCATTTTGCTTCCACCCATATTTTAATAATGGTGGTAGAGCTGCTATGAACATGGGTATATGAATCTCTTTTGAGATCTGCCTTCTGATCCTTTGGGGGTATACATGAAGTTTCTTATGCTGACACCAACCTAGCTCCCTACAACATTAAGTCACTTGGCTCTATTCTCAGAGGCAACATAAAAATAAGTTTTATCCAGCCACTCTGCAGCCTTTTTTTTTTTACAAAGTCCTCCTACTTAGACCCTACTACCTCTGGTCAGTTTTTGACAGAGGCAGCTTTTGCTGTCATCTGTGTTGCTGTTTTCATCATGACTTTGTAAGGTTTGCTCCAAACAGTTTCTACAGGGAGGCAGATGATAAGGGACTTGAAGTTTAGTGTATGCATTACCACCTAGTCCTGCCTGGTCTCTTCTCTGTGCTAACAGGGGGTCACTGTAGTTTCTTGGGGAAGTCATGACAATGGTACCCCATTTTGTACATGAACTGCATTCCTAGAGCTGGGTGCAGAAGGAAACTCACACTCATTCTTTTTGCAGTTTCCCTGATGGCTCACCTATTCTGCTGTTCAATTTTCACTTATGTTTCTCTCCAACTCTGATTGTATATGTGGTCTTTTTTCTCTGGCCAATTTGGTTCAGCCTTGAACTTGACTTTCTCAGACAAGAAATACATTAGCTCCCTCCTCCAACATGCAGCTTGCTTTCAGGAAAGGCAAAAGACACAGCAGCCCTGGTGGTGGCTCTGCCCAGAGCAGACACAGGCCCCTGCCACCAGCCAGCTGGCTGGCTGCCATCTGCCAGTCTCACAGACATCTGGACCTGGGGAAGCGGTGGAGCCTGGGCTGGGGGCCATGAGAACTGGTGGAGCACAAGGTTTGGGAGTATGGAATGTCCATTATCCCTGGAGATCCTAGGGAAAGCTTTGGAAAAGCCAGACCAGAGCTGAACAGGAAGCAGAAAACAGAAGGAATTGCATATGGTGATTTTTGTGTGTGTATGTGTATGTGGTACTGTGGCTTGAACTCAGGGCCTACACCTTGAGCCATTCCACCAGCCCTTTTTTGTGATGAGTTTTTTTGAGACAGCGTCTCACAAACTATTTGCTTGGGCTGGCTTTGAACCTCGATCCTCCTGATCTCTGCTTCCTGAGTAGCTAGGATTACAGGCGTGAGCCACTGGCACCTGGCTGCATATGGTGATCTCTTAAGGTCTCCTCTGACTCTTACAAGTAGGGTTTTTTGTGTTTGAAAGGTGAAAATTTTAAAGTTACCTTTTAGAAATTCTACTGCATGTTTTATTTGCCAAAATATATTATATCCTGCTTCCTCACTGAAAGCTCTCCCCTTAAATCTTAATTTTTAACAGCTCTGTATTACACGTATCAATTACATGCATAATCTACACAGAACACAGGGCATATGGGTGATGAGTTTTGAATATTACACATATGACATACACACCCACACCCAATGAACCACCAGCACTAACCAAACTCATGGCCCTCACAGCTTCCTCCTTCCCTGCGTCCCACCTCAGGCAACCACTGCTCTGCTTGGCCACTATAGACTGGTGTCCACTTTCTAAAAGTCTAAAAAAATGGAACCATGCAGTTCACATTCCTCCATGTCTGGCTTCTTTTGCTCAGCGTGATGGCCGAGATCATCCATGTTACGAGTATCAACGTTCTCTTTTACTCCACTAAATGGATAAATTTCCACCTTCTTTATGAATTACTATTCCTTGAAGCCCAGGATTTTTAAATGCTTTTGTTGCTGTTGTGACTGGGGTTTCACGCTTGCAAAGCAGGCGCTCTGCCTCTTGAGCCACGTGTCCTGGTTTTTAAATGTTTTATTGTGGAAACCTGAGCACACACAGTAGAGAGAACAGCACAGCGGACCTCCTGGTACCTAATCTCCCAGCTTCCAGTTTCCAGTATTTTGCCAGTCAGGTTTGTCGCTCACCACCAGAGGGCACTATTTGCCCTGCCCGGTTGTCAGGGTTCTGCATCTCTTGGGAAGTTCTCCTTAAGGCTTCCATGAGACTGAGAGGCACTGTGTGTGTGTAAGCCCTTCTGCATGCTAAAGTAACAGGACTTGTTCCCAAGGAGGCTCTAGAGAAATGTCCTGTGGTGAGACTGCCAGACTCAGGCCCATGTCCTCTGGTGAGGGCCCTGCCTTGGGGAGGAGTTTCCAAAGCCACACAGGAGGAAGACAAAGCAGACCAGAGAAGCTGAGGGGTGGGGCTAGGAGAAAAGAGCCTCGTTCACA